TGAACGCAACAATACCTTTGCTATGCAATCTTAACTAGAGGGTATCAAAAAGTCCAACCTCGTGCAATGCTCACAAAAAGATGGCGCCTTGCTGTGTACAAAATTGATCAGAGGATTCCCTGCCGTTTGAACTATGACGCGATATGTCATCATATTTCCTCCAATGCAGTCTCTCGGCCACACTCTTGGCTCTCGTTCTGGCCCATATGTCCTGTGTCCTGGCCGATGATTGTTGTTGCTCCTTGTTGTTGTTGCTGCCGTTGTTGTTGGTGTTGTTGTTGCCATGCATATTTCTCACTTTGTCAAAAGGCTTTCCATGCACTGCGCAAGACCACAAATCCAGTTGCTCAGTTGATTTGCGTGTCCTCCTCCTGCCGACTGCCTCCTCGTGCTGCACTCTCCTTGTCGTGTTTAGCTCGTATTTAGCATTTGGGCAAAACATTTATTGCCTCGGCTACCGCAAAATCAATTTTCCACATAACTTTTATTCGAGTTGTTGTGGCGCTTTTTGGCAACTGTGTCCAACGGTGGCCCCTTTCGGCCATCTCCGCCGATTTTATGGCCATCTCTCCGGCAATTTTATTGGCCAACTCTGCCCTTCGCTTTGACTAATGGCCGCTTCGTGCTGCTGCCCAGCCCCTGCTGTCGGCGTCTCTTTTTGGCCGCTTCTTTTATATTTGCATTATTTGTTTTGTCATCTTTTTGGCAGCACTGCTCCTCAGCATTTTGGCTATGATTTATTAGACCAAACTCGCCTGAAGGCAAGAAATCAAATTTTGGAACCACTTGGCAAAAAAGAGCGGAAAAATGGATATAAAATTGTGGAAAGACTCAAGAACATATTTGTATTTTAAGTACTAGAACTTTATGGGTACCTAAATAAAACTATTTTTCCTGACTGATTGACTGACTGACTGATTGATAATGTCTATTGTAAAAGGTACACTATTAAAACATTATTTCTACATGTGTTCAATCATTTTTCCTGACTGATTGACTGGCTGACTGATCGATATCGTACGCACAGATAAAACCGAAGGAGCTGTATTTTTTTAAAAGATGTGCACTTTTCTTGAGATGTATACTTTATAAACGATTAGAACATTAAATTGACTGATTGACTGACTGATGAATGATTAACTCTCAGCGAATACCGTAAAAGCTAGGCAGCCGAGTTTTTAACAATATTTATTTCTTCAGATGTATTGCAAGAAGTACAGTATTAGAACATTATATCTATATATGTAAAACTATTTTTACTAAATGATTGGCTGATCAACGCTCAGCGCGTACCGTAAGAGCTAGGCAGCTGAATTTTTCACAATATCTATCTCCTGTAATGTTAATTCATAGTAATTTGGAAAATTTCATGCTACTCTGAATATTTTCAGCCGACAATGTGAAAGATGGGCGGAAAGTGTTTCCATAAGACTTTATTGCTTTTTATCCAATTTAGCATCAAGCTCAGTTTCAAAGATCCTTAAGAAAATTCGTTGGAGACGTGGCCCAAACTTTTCGCAAAACCCAAACTCGCCTGAAAATTGGGTGGAAAACTGTTGGTTCAAAATCATATGAAATTTAATTAAAAAATACTTTTGGCCGGCTTAAGTTAACTTATCTAAATTTATGACTAGTTAGAAAGCCTCACGGCTCGATAGGAAAATAATTCTCATAATCCTCTTACTACAAAACCCAACTACGCTTGGTTTCTCTTTGTTTTCGCGTCCATCAGTTCATTAAAAAACTTCATTATCCCATGCTATAAAGCAAATCAATTTTGATTTACAAATAGACATATATCAATATGTTCGGGCCCCCCAAATGGCGCAGGCGCATCGTCTAGATGCTTGAGGGGGGGCGTGTGGGGAGGGGGGAAGCGCTCTGCCAGACCTGGCCAACGAAACGTTCCATCATTCCAAAGTGTTGATGATGGAAAGTGTCCCACTGTGCACAACAGAAAAACAACGCGGATGCGGCCAATGTGTCTACAATGGAACTTCGAGCAGAATAGAGAGAATAAAACAACAACAACAACAACAACAATAACAACAACAATAAGCGCTAATAATGCTTAATCAATGTTACACTTTACAATAAAGAAACGAAAAATAGATGAGAAATAAAATATGGCAGCGAGGGTTGTAGCTAGCCCCCAACAAAAAAATAGAAGAAAAAAAAAACAAAAAACTCAAATGCTGAACTTCATTTGTGCCATGATTTATGGTTATTTCATAACCAAAAAAAAAAAAGAGCCCAAGAAAAACCCACTTCAGAACACAATTCACACTTGCGAACAAGTGGAGGCCCAGGCAACTGTAATTGAAATCGCCAGAGAATTAGAGATAGAACGAGAGAGAGAGAGAGAGAGAGAGAGAGAGAGAGAGAGAGAGAGGGATGATCTAAATCGAGTTGTGCATTGAACAATTCGTTTTACGAAAACAATGCGCTAAATTTGTTGCGCACAAATTTTTGTTTGAGTGTATATTCAATAATCATTTATCATGTGCATTCCGATTTCTTGATTATAAACAACCAAACATTGTTAAAGTTCATTAGCTGCAAATGGGAAATCGTTAAGAGTACAGCTAATTATAATTTCCCATATGTTTAGCAGCCATAATTGTGGGGCCAACTATGTTCTATAGCTTAGCTGATGTCACATGCCAACTTTCAATAGAAGGCTTTTAATTCGCCTCTAATAAGGCGGGCTTAAAATTCGCTGTGCTGTTAGGCCCTGTTCTTACGCTTACTTGAGCCTCACAGCACGCAGCTTTTGTCTGTGTTAATGTCAAATGCGTTTGCGTCAAGTTTTTTTTGTTGGGCGCTTTGTTAAAGCACGCGCTTCTTGGATAACTCAACAGGAGACGCCGTCGCGGCCGTCGCGCATCGTCGCAGCTGCGCCCAAGATCTTGAAGCCAGCAGCAGCAGCAGCAGCAGCAGCAGCGGGCCACATGTCAATCCACAGCCACTCATCACGCCTGAAGATTTTCATAGCCCATAATTGAGGTTAGGAGGCATACGTGTTGCCCAAAAAAAAAATCAAATCAAATAAAAAAAAAGTGCGCCCAGCACGAGTTAAGATTTAATTTAGTGAAAATAATTTGTTTAGTCGTTCCGCAAAATTGCATAATTGTCAATGGTTGGCCACTCGGCTCGAAGGACCTCAACTTCTCTATGTCCTTAATGAGCGCACGACGCCAGTTGGCCGCTGCTTATTATGTACTCTGTTCAGAGTGTGAAATGGGGTATATTCGGTTTTATTTGCGCTATGTCTGTGCGTTCTATTGTAGCTGCAGACTAAAAACTTGTATAATGTATGGTTTATAAGACCTTGGCCACGCCCTTTAGAGGTCATGCGACCTGCCCTAATCTATATGAGTCATAGTCCTCTAGCTGCAGTTACTTAACTTGGCAATTCGATTGTATTTGTATAGTATATATATATTATATATAATCGTTATCAGTTCAAGGAAATGGGCCGTAACAATAAAAAATTTAATAATTTAATATTGGTAAATATTAATTTGTTTATTTTTACTCTGGTTTTGGTTGGTTGGCATTTTTTAAGTTTTTTTTTAGCTACTTAAAATCGTTTTGCACCCTTTTGGCTGCTACGCCATAAACAGGGTATTTTGCAGTCGTTTGCAAGCGTTTCGCGTCTTTCCGTTTGCCTTGTGGCTGCGTCCCACGTGCGTTCGGCATCCGCTGCGCCATTTTGAGGCAACGCGCACAACACATTTGCATATTGGAAAATTATAGCCTGCGCGGGCACAGCCAACGCCTGTCCAGCTTTATATATACACAGATATATACATACATGCATGTGTATGTCAATGGGTGTGTGTGTGTGTGTGTGTGTGTGAGTGTGTAGTTGCTTCTGGCTTTTGTGGTTGCGGTTGCGCAGAAGGCGACGCGCGTGGCTGCATGGTGCCGCAATGGGAGGGCGCCGCTGTCGACGATGACGACGACCCCCAAGCGACCTCCAGCGGTGCGAGGACTTGACTCTTGGCAGGCGAACAGACGGACAGAAGGACTGGCGGGGACAGACGGACGGGCCAAAAAGAGTGCACAAAAAAATGCCAACAATGCGGCAACGTTTCGACTCTGATGAGCTGTAAAACACGCGTTTTCATAATGTTATTAAAGGCCAGTCAATGGCTGAGAGGGCGGCGAAACGGGTGCAGCTCAACGGCCATTTGACATGCCAAAAAACACTTCTGTCACAGCAGCAGCAGCAGCAGCAGCAGCAGCGGCAGCGACAGCGACAGCGGCAGCGGCTGCTGCGGCGCATCCCTAGGTGGTATCCAGAGGAACCAGTCCGAAGCGTGACTCCGCGTACTCGTAAATTGTGCACCGCATGCGCTTTGGCAATTATTTAGCCATAATAAACTTGATACCGATGCGCGATCTATGATTAAAGATTGGCTTTTGCGCCAGCGCACAGTAGCTTCAATTATTTTATTTAAAATGAAGCTTAATGTTTATTGAACAGCACAGCAAACGGCGGCAAGTCAAAGGAGCTAAAAAAATGGAGTAAAAGCAGCTTAAATGGCCACAACATGTTAGTCTCTATCAAAGTACTTGGTGTATTTGTAATAATTGTGTCAAATGATTTTCTCGAAAATTACCATTTTAAATCTAATATGCCGCTGCGTAGCTATGTGTCAGTGCTGCCACCTAGTTGAAATAAAGTAAAGCACGTCCAATTTGTGTTCCCTAAATTTGGTCACACTTATTGTGCTCAAAATAAAAACCGCGTAATGAGCAGCAAACAAGCAATTTAAGCACAAAAAAAAATGATGTCAGTTACTATGCACTATTAATGATAAAATTAATCAAGCATTATATAAAATTTTAAATTGATATTAGAAAGAAATTTGTCACCCAGGTTGAGGGAAATTGGAATTTAGATACATGTGTGTACACACTGCATACTGAAATTAAATATTTTCTGCAGATGTTTGTCAAATATTAAATACACGTATTAACGAAAAAACAATATAAGGTCAAATAAGGGTGAATTTCTTGTTTAAGAAACACCAATCGGCCAGCTGCATTTTTAAAGTAAAGTAGCGTAGCGCTCAAAGTCCTCTGCGGCGCAACTGTTGAGCTCTCAAGCCATCAGCTCAGTGTGGTGAATACAGCAAGAGACTACAGCTGCTGATGAATGAACATGCAGTAGTGAGGTGTAAAACATAGCAAAACGTAAAAATTTCCTCGTTTCTGGCAAAAAACGACAACAAAACAAATGCAATTAACAATAAACGAAGTGCAAACAGTGATGTGAAAGCAAAATTGATAACAACGGGAAGACCACAAAGTGATTGTGCATAAAATAGTGATACAATTAGGACCGGTAAATGCCAAGTAAAAAAAAAGCAGCCACAATGGAAGGCAAAGTAGTAGTAGAAGTATGTTGAATAAATTTGTAGTAGTGTGTAGTTGTACGAAACAGCGTGCAAGCCGAAACTGGCAAAACTGAAAAGAAGAAGAAGAAGCGAGACGAACACAAAAAGTACACAGACACAAGTGCAAATAGGTAAAAACAAAAAAACAAAAAATGTTAAAATAATTTGATGAAATAATTGTGCGTGAGACAAAGGAAAATCAAACGCCGGGCATGTTAAAGTCGCCAGCAAAGCAGCAGCTGACGGAGCAACAACAACTAGTGGAGGCAGGAGTGGGAGCAGGCGGAGCAGCAGCAGGAGCAGTGGGCAGCTGCATTTACCAGCAATAAGAATGTTGCTGGCGGCAGCCGGGCAACCAGCGCCCTATACCTACGACTCGAGCGCGTCGCGCAAGATTAACAATAACAACAACAACAATAGCAGCAGTAGCAACAACAACAACAACAATGTCAGCGCAGGCACGAGCACACCCACCCAAACAATTGGAGCAGCGGGCACGCTGGCGGCTCGTCCCACAACCGCCAGCAGCATAGCCAGCAATGCGGCCTGTGCGCTGATGAAAACGCTCTCAGTGCGCCTGCATCGCGGCACCGAATTCATCAAGGACACGGTGCAAAAGGCGCTGGTCTTGAATGCCTCGACGCCAGTTTTAGCACCGCCGGCAACAGAGGGAGGCAGCAGTCACAGTCATAGCCATAGCCTGAAACGCAAGCTGATTGGCGCCGGCGGCATCATGAGCTCCGTTACCGTCTCCAGCTCCGGCTCTGGCTCAGGCACCACCTCCAGCTCCAGCGCCAGCAGCAGTAGCAGCAGCAATCGCCAGCTTGTGCTCAGTCAGCCATATGTGGCGGCCACGGCTGCCTATTTGCGGCAGTTTACGGTGGCGCCATCCATGCTGCATCGCTCGGCAACGGCGCGCAAACGTAATGCCAGCACAGACAGCTTACTCATGGATCTGTGTCTATTCAAGCCCATACGGCCCATGCCCATAACACCCATCAAAATGTAAGCATTCTCTCAGTTTCACTTCAGCCATAACAATGTCTGTCCATTTTAGCAACAAAGCACGCGGCTTTGAACTGAAGCGACCCAAATTTATGCCGCCCGCTGCAAATGTGTACAGCGATGCCGATGACGACGACGAGGAGGAGTACGAAGAGGATCCAGCACACAAGGAGCAGGAGCAGGCACTTAAACCAAAGCTCAGGTAAGCTGTCGTAGTTTATGATTAAAGCACTCCAGCTCTAAGCATAGCGCCGGCTTCTCGCTCTTGCAGCACACTGACATTGCCACAACATGCCACCGCGTCCGCTTTTGTGCCACATGAGCCCACTCAACCACAGGGCCACACCAAGGACAGCAGCAACACACTAACCTCAGGCACAGGCTCAGGCGAAGTCACAGTCACAGCCAAGCCAAAGGCAGCGACCGCAAAGCGTCGACGCCGCGCACCGCTGCTAACGACCAAAAGACGTCGCAAAACAGGATCAGCAGCAGCAGCCGGAATAACTCCAGCAGCCAAGGTAGCCGGCACAGCTACTGCAGCGACTGCTGCAGCTGCAACTGCAGCGCCCAAGCGGAAGCGACGCAGGGGCAATTCCATATCGCCAATGCGCCACTCGCCGCCCATGACACGTCAGCGAGCGCGTCTACAGATCTCCAACAGCAGCAACTAAGCAGCAAACCCTACCCACATACCTATCTCTCTGTCTATGTGCACGGTTGGCCATTGGAACGACATCAAGGCTTGTTTTGTAATCCAATGCTCAAAATTGCTGTGTAACATAGAAAACAAACAAACACAAACACAAATCCTAAGTCTTTGGTTCTAGTTACTGTTTAATTCTAAGCGACGCGTTTCCATTGTTTTCCGTTTGCGTCAACGGAATCGAAGCAAGTGAAGCGCCAATTGGCAACAACAACAATAACAACGACAACAACAGGCAAATCCCAAGAAAATGTTTATCATAAGAGCTATTCGTACCCAACCCCTAAGCAGCAGAAACCAGAGCTGCGCATTTGCATTTGTTTATAGCTTACGGCCGAGACCAATTTGTTTATTCTTTAGTCGTTTACCCTATTTGTGTTCTTTGTCGCGTCTGATATCTAATTGTTAATTTAGCTTTAAATTTATCATATTTTATGTTTATAATTCTTGTAAATTTTTGTTTACTTTGGTCAGCAGTTGCCGAGGCAACTTCACTTGCTTCAACTAAATATGTCTTAAAATAATATAATATATATATTTAATAATAATAATATAAACTGGTCTTCAAGACTGATGAAAAACTAAACGAATATTACAAAGAAAAACCACTCATTTAAGGGCAACTGATACACAAAAAAAAAAGAAGAAGATAAACAAAAATAAAACCTTTAAGAATTTAAAAAACAAAAACAAAAGAAAAACAAAACTTAAAAAGTAAGCAACAAGTATTAAAAGGTAGTAAAAACTAAAAGCAAAACAAGTTAAGAAAAATGTAAAAAAAAAAAAAAAACACGAAAAGAATAGAAATCGTAATTTAAGCCATTCCTGATATTTTGTTTTAAATACATAGCTACATATATTGCTTATACGGCGATTTCTAATTTTTGTTAGGCTCTTAACAACTTTCTTTTCAGGATGCCTTTGAGGCCAAAAAAAAAAAAAAAAAAAAAACACCGACATGCAGTGAAAAACGCCACAACTAATTTTAATTTTCGTACAATTAACCAAGTTTGTTTGAATTTATAGCTTAGAAAACAAAGTAAACAATTCATTTACATATAAATAATAAAAACAAATATATATATACATAAACTATATAGTATATATATACAAATATTGATTATAGTGCATGCCGGTAAAATCAACTGTGTGTTGTGATATGAATTAATTTATAAAAAAGAAGAGATAACAAAAAAAGCTAAAAGACAGCAGAATTCGTGTTTTTGCTTTAAATAAAACAACTCTCTCCCAACCAAGATAAAAACAAAACAAAAAAATAAGTACTAAAATTAAAATACAATTAAATAATTTCTAAGCACTGAGATACCAACGAATCGGGCAAACAGCTAAACTGACAAACCATATTTTAAACTTAATGACACAGTTTCGATTGATTCCAAAAAAAATCAACAACAAAATACCGGTCTATGGATAATACGCAGAGCTAAATTTCTTAAAACACACAGCGAGTTGTATGCGTCAATAAAAACCATCTAAAATTATAAATGTATATAAAGTAGGTGGATTTTTCTATTTTGGAAATCGAAAACCCAGAAGTTTAGTTAAACTCTTATTCTATTATGTATTCTTGTGCCCTGAACTCAAAGGGTTTTGTTTAAATGCGTGTAACAGGCAGAGAGAAGCAGCTCCAAGCCCTGATCAGGATGACGAGCCGAGTTAATCCTTGTAAATCTGAAGGCGAAACTCTGAAAGCTCAAAAGCTCTTGACTTGAAATTCATTATATACATTCAAGAACATCAAAAAGAGCTATTACTTTTTCGATATCCTTTTCGATTTTGAAATTATCGATAAATATCGATTATAAGACATGGTTTTTTAAGCATAGCTCGAAGAATATCAGAGCTATACACATCAAACTTGTTATGTGCTCTCTCATAGACTAAACACAAATTTATAAATGTTTCACGTTGTGTATACCTCGCCCTGAAATTGTAAAAAAAAAACACATTTTTAAAGGCAGAGTCGGTTCATAAAGATCGGACTTTAAGCCCCTGAGTTAATCAAGAATAAATGTCCTAAACATAGTGTGAAACTTGTAAATGAATTTGGAAATTCCAGCTTCAAAACTGGTTGAATAATTGGCAGGAATTTCTTGAAGTGTAGTTTATTCCGAATCTCACTCGTCGAGCGTTACCATCTTTGTGGGCATCACATTCCACAAATCCTGCAGCTTGTAGCCCTCGGGTATGCGTTCCATGGCAAAGCCCAGCTCCTTGCAATAGATAGGGTCCGTCGTCGCATGCTCCGTGCCGGCCAGGGAGCCCGCGGCGAGATAGCTGTTCAGCTTGGTATTTATTTCGCGCTCGTGACCCTCGTTCAGCTCCTGATATTCCTCGACTTTGAATTGTGTCGCCTGAGCAGCTTCCTTGGCGGCGGCGGCCTGACGCTTGCGCGCGTCCAACGGATCGTAGTGGACGCCAAAATTCGGCTGCTCCGTGTAGATAGTGTGCAGGGAGCCCAGCTCCTTGAAGAGCCCATTAAGACGCTCGACGGGATCGATGCGAAAGCCCAACACATAGCCGCCGGCCGTCTCAGCCGTCTGGATGACAAGAGCCGGGCCATACTTGGACTCGCGTATGCGCAGCTGGAAGTGTTCCAATATGAAAGATGTCGCTCGGTAAAGTGCTGAGCACAGGACTCACGGCCTCGATCTGCAGATAAGGCAGGCTCAGATTGAAGGTCTCATTGGCATCCGCAAACCAGACCAGGCGGATGTTGGTCACAACAAAGCTGCCCAGATTGCCCTGATCACTGGACAAATTCCAGACGCCCTGCACCTGGCTGTACACCTGCTCCTCCGGCATTATAATCAGCTGACCCGCCTGCACAATGGCACCGCGCAGCTTCAGATCCCTGTAGAGAAAGGTGCGCTGATACAAGCTGTGAAATAAAAAAGAATTGAGTGTGGAAACGTTTGCTAAATCCCTCACTTGACGCACTGATGCACATCGAAAACGCTGGCAAAGATCGGCTGATCCCTGCGCGCCGTCTCGCCGGATACGTCCGTGAACAGAAACTCAAATCGCGTTTCGTTTCTTATGGCCAGAATGTACAGCGCCTGGCTGGGTATGCGGCCCTTGGTGTGCATGTGCACCAGGCGCGTGTTGGTGGTGCCTATGCGAGCATAGCCTATGGCTATGGATTGAGCAATCAATAGGTTATATATATCCAAGAGAGTCTCCCCTCGGCTTGGTGATTAACACACAGCGAAAACCGTAAGAGCTAGGAAGAAATGTAAAGCTTCCTTTTGCACAGGGAGTGGATGGGATTTTGGAAAATTCAATCTGCAAATGACGTCACGAGCCTGCGTGACATTTGTGTAAAAGCTTCGGACAGACAAACGTAAAGTTGCTGGTTCAAATGCAGCGGGCATCAATTTTGGAAAAGTGTTTCCACCCCCAGCTCTTGCGACTTGGGCTGTGCTAACAACATCAATCGTCAGTCAGTCGGTCGATCAGTCAGAGCTTACTATACATAGAGCCGGAAAAGTGAGGTCGCTGGTTCAAATCCAGCAGGCATCCATTTTGGAAAAGCGTAAATCACGTTTCCACCCCCAGCTCTTGCGGTTTGGGCTGTGCTTACATCATCAATCAATCAGTCAGTCAATCAGTTGGTCAATCTGTCACAGCTAGGATTCCTTGAGAAACCTACACAAATTGAACTTCTTGTGGACCAGCGAATGCCAAATGATGCGCAGATTGGTCACCAGTAGTCGGCCCGTATCGCCAGGATTGCCCTTGCTGTCCTCTATATGGTAAATCGTATCCAATATTTTCTCGCCGCCGCGAAGACGCGTTTGGCTGTAAAAGTAATTGCGGGCTATGATTGATGATTAATTAATTTAATCGACCAACTCACAGTTGTGGGGTATCAAATTTGACTTCTTTATCCTCCCAGAGCAGACTCTGCGGCAGTGCATCCGTTTTGCTCAGAGTTTTCAGCATTTTCCCACAGCGAATCTCAGGTGTTTGTTGTGCTTTGCGCACCTAGCAGGTGTTGCTAGGCAACCTTTGAACTTAACACAGTTGACTTGAGGTTGACGGGTTGTCGATCTATATATATATATATAAAAAGTCAATCCTAAGTTAAAGAATATTAATTTAAGAATATTTTTAACTAAAAAGATGTTTTATTTATTATTGCAAACATTATTCATTTAACATTATTTTGTTTGCTTTTTAATTGATTATTATTGATTTTTTTTTGTGAATGAAAAGCTCATATACAAACTGAATACCGCTCGATTTGAGCCAGCAACCTCACGCTTGTCGGTCCACTCTTTTATAGATGATCCCAAGCGGTAAATTTCACGCAGAATATTTATCTTGATATACTCACATTTATCGTTAATTAGTGAAAATAATAATTTTAATGATGGTGATGATAATAATAATAATGATGATGATGATAATAATAATAATGATGATGATGATAATAATAATAATAACAAGTAAGAGGGTCTAGTCGGGAGCTCCCGACTAGGGAATACCCTGAACCCTCTTCGTCCAACATCAAATGCATATATATACTCTATTTTAGAAGCTATATGTCAAGTTTGGTGACTCTAGCTCTTATTATTTACCAAAATTGCCCAAAAAACAGGATATCGATATCGATTTTTATCGATTGCTTGGAAACGGAGTAAGTTATCGATTATCGGAAATAAACTCGATCTGCGCGGGAGCTAGGAGCATCTACATCTAAAATTTCAAGTCAAGTTTCAAGTCCTTGCGTTCATATACGGACAGACGGACAGACAGACGGACATGGCTAGATCGTCTCGGGTATTGTTGCTGATCAAGAATATATATATACTTTATGGGGTCGGAGATGCTTCCTTCTGCCTGTTACATACATTTGGATTTTGCACAAATACAATATGACCTTTTTACCCATTTTTAATGGGTTCAGGGTATAATAATAGTAAGAGTAGACTTTGTTTTGTTTTTTTATATTAATAATACATATATATTTGACTACAATTTAGATTATTATAAAAAAAACTTATGCTTCGTTTGGTGAACAAGTTTTTTGGTCAAAATGCCGCTAACTCAACTGGTTTTCTTTTCTTTTCTTTTTCGTTCTTCCCGCAGCTTCAAAGTCCTTAAGACTATATTTTAGCCAGGCTAATTAATGGAAATGTTTTTGTTTTTTTTTTTTTTTTGTTGTTTTTGTGTTTAGAATATTGACAAACATTCGGCTTAAACGTTAGAAACATTTAAACAGAGACAAGGCAAATGTCGCATACGAAAATGAAATAATTAATAATATTTACAGTAGGCCACACTAATTGGAGTAACTGCTTCCAGATTCACATGATGATCTGGGGCTCGGGCACGCTAGCCGCAATGCTCTTGTGCGGCAGCACCTGGCCGCCGTTCACGTACAGCTCGTCCTTAACGATAACATCCTCGCCCAGTACGGTGATGCCCTCGATGCGCACCCAGCGCCCGACGGTGCTGCGCCAGCCCACAATGCAGGAGTCCAGCCAGGAGTGCGAGCGTACAATGGCACCTTTCAGTATGGTCGAACGCTTGATGCAAACGCCATCTTCGATGACCACATCGGGCCCAATGGTTACATTTGGTCCGATGCGACAGCCCTCGCCAATCTTGGCCGACGGATCGACCAGCACATTGCCAACGACGCCGGATCCTGTGTACAGCTTGGTCGATTGCTTCTGTCGCAGCGAGCTGAGGTAGAGGCACATACCTGCAGCAGAAAGGAAATAATATAAAACAAGTAAGTGTGTTATAGTCGGAAGTGCCCGACTAGAAGATTACCCTGCTCTAAGCTAACACAAATGCCCTATATGACTTTTTGGATAATCTCCATTAATCTTGATAATTTCCATTATCCGATCTTTATGAAATTTAAAGGACTTTTGTCTGACATTTAAAAAGTGGGCATGACTGCTTTTAAAAATAAGTTCTATTTATGGGAGATTTGGGGAAGACAACGTGAAATATTAAAGGAGATATCGAAGTTAATGATAAAATATACGAGCATGTATATTCCATATTTACAGTCTCTAAATTTTGTTGTTTTCGTAACAGTTTTAGTTTTAGATCGACTCAACTTGCTGCCCTGAACACACCCCCACGCGGCATCCGTTTATCAGCTAATAGAGCTCATTAGAAACGTTCTATCATGCATTTGGTCTATCATTGGCTGCCGCCGATTCCAAGAAATCAGATAAAAGTTGGTGTTGGGCACAACAAATGATTAGACACTTCGCAGTTCTGCTGATAAGGCCAAACGGAAGATAGCTGACGACTATGATTCAGGTTCAGAGGGAACGCACCGGTAAGAAAGTCTTTGGGTTGTCCAATATCCATCCAGAAACCGTTCAGTTCCATGGCATAGAGCTCCTGCTGCAGCGCCATGTCCGGAAACACTTCCTTCTCAATAGACGTGGGCTTCACCTCGATGCGGTCCAGCACGGTGGGATTGAATATGTAAATGCCCGCGTTGATTTTGTTGCTGACAAACTCTTGCGGTTTCTCAATGAAATTCTTAATGCAGCCGAGCTCATCGTAGAGCACAACACCATATTTGGAGGGCTCCTCGACTTTGGTCACCACAATGGTGCCTTGTTTGCCATGATTGCGATGGAACTGCATTAGCTGCTTGAACGGGAAATCACAAATAACATCCGAGTTAAGGACAAAGAATGGTTCCGCACTGGCTGTCAATAGTGGCTTGGCCAGCGCCAGGGGGCCGGCTGTGCCCAGGGGTTCGCTTTCATGTGAAAAGATCAACTCGACGCCCAATTTGTCCGCTTCCACTTTCAGTTCCTGCTCCATTTGCTCGGCCCGATAGCTGACCGCCAATATGACCTACATTCGAGAGAAACTTGTTTATGTAACTTTTGTGGCCGCCGCGGAAACTCTCACTTGACGACAGCCCGCATCGACGAGCGCCTCCAGCTGATGCAGCAATATGGGCTTGTTGGCGAACTCCACCAGGGGCTTGGGTGTGCTCAGCGTCAGCGGACGCAGTCGTGTGCCATAGCCGCCCACCAGGATGAGTGCCCGGGCGCCGCTGCCGGCAGCTATATTGGGTGAGCCGCACATTGCAATCGTGGTAACTGGGACACGTCACAGAATCAACAGAAATTAGTCAGCACACAGCGTTGTGTGCGGATCGCGACAATCGTTGACTGGAGAGGCAAAATTTAAGCTTGCTGATGTTTGACTCTACAATTGTAATTAATGCTACTTTACCTGTTGTTGTTGCTGTCGCTGCTGCTGTTGCTGCTGCTGTTGTTGATAAGCCGCTTGTTGTTGGCTTTTTATTGTTGTTGTTGGCGCGTTCTTATTGGGAGCGTCGCTGCTTGCACGTAGAATAGGGTGTGCGTGTGTGTTATGTGTGTGCTTAACTATGTCATGCAGTATTTTGTTTGCTTATATACAACTTGAATTTGATTAGGTATAAAACTACGCAAATGTTTTAGCTGTGCGCGGGCTGTTTTTTTCTTGTAAATAATACAAGTTACAATAATTAGGGTTGATGATAATTTATCGTTTTCCACCACACGAAACGATACGATATATGTAAACAGAGAAGACATTGTCACGCATAACTGCAACTGCTGCTACCAGCTAGTGCTGGTATCGCAACACATTGTGCAAGACTAATCTATGTCGATGTATCGATTATTCATAGTCAGTTTAATGATATTTTACTTTGCGCATTTTGGTAACACCGTTTTCGTGAACAGTGTGACCTGTGCTGTTGACAGCAGAGTCGGAGTCGGAGTTTTGTTACGTGTGGAAATTAATAAGAGAAAACTGTGAAAATTGTGCAAATCATTCTAAACAAATAGCCAAAAGGTAAGTGAAACATTAATGCATAGCTTTCGTGTCCAAAACGGTTATGTAAATGCAGTATATATGACATATTGCGATCACTCAGCAAAATTTTGCTCCTTGGTGCTCCGCTGGCCACTCAAACGAGACACACACACACAGATTGCATATACATACACGCACTCACATTTGTGTATTTCGTCGAATCAGCAGCAGCGAGTGGCCTGTCTCACACAGACAGAAAACAAAATGTCGACCATTTGCATTTTTTATTGCTTTTTAGACCATTTTGGAAACGTTTCGGTGCATTTATTGATTTCAACAAGTACTTGATAAAACATTTTGTCAACCTGTGCAAGAGAATTTGCAAAAAAAAACGCCGAATCCCAGTGCAATAGAGTGCGCGACCATAAAACTGTGTGTGAGGTAAAGCAAACGATATTGATTTTTACAATAGCTATTGGTTAAAAACGACAAGAAAGTTGTCTGCTGCTCTTTTGCATTCAGAGTTATAACGTCTATTTAGCTGGTAGATATTGTATTCTAAGTTATCCATATTATAATTTGGGTAATAGGGACGTGTTCGTCAACGTTCTTAACTTGGTTGGCAACGCTGATCGGCGCAGTTAGTGTAGGGTGCCCTACCAAGTGACTGTGTGTTGTGTGTGTATATAAAGACATTTGTTCAATTCTATTTCTTATTATCTGTATATATGTATTACACATAATCTAATAATCTATATGAATGCTTCATTTTTTTCTGACTGATGCGCAGCATCTTATTAAGTTTTTACTTTCTCTTTTATTTATGCTCAGCGGCTAAATGTGCGTGTGTGTGATGTGTGCCTCCCTCAATGCAGTCACGTTGAATTTCATGCGCACCGTATTTTATTTTATTTGTATTTAATTTTGGCCTCTTGTCAGCTTTTTATATGGCTTTCAGTTTGCATTGTGCTGCGCTGTTTGTATATATATATATATATGTGTGTGTGTTCGTTCGTTTGTAAGTAGTTGTGTAGCTTTTATGGTCACATTGCATTGAGTTGCGCTGAAGGTTTGTTCTGGTGATTGGCAACTCGTGTTCAATTTTTGCAAGTAATGCTCTGCAGCAGAAGCAATGATCGGCATTTGAATTAAATATACTTACACATACTTATGAAATACATACGCGATTTAAAGCTGTTCATGAATTGGGATAATACGACTGAAAACCCTGCGATAGCCAAACCCAAGGTCATATATAAATGTTTTTTAAGTGCTGGGAATATCGATAACTGAACTTATCGGACTTGGCCATAAATTAATGAATATACATGCAGTCATAGCATAATCATATGAACCAAGTGGCAACGCTACCGTGTCGCATAACTCAACCTTGAAAGTTGATTAACCTGCAAAAGGAAAATATTTTGACCCCAAACACACGCCAGAGCAGTCAATTGCCTGGCCACCGCCGCCGCTTACGGGGGGCATATACATAATTTGATTTCCGTTTTCGAGAGTGAGGAGCTGCTACCGTCCTTTAATACGCTTCCACTGCGGCAATTTGGTGGTGTAGACGCCTTCCTTTTTTTTTCAGTGCAGCGAATAAAAACAAAATCCTGTTGTTTACGTGTGTGTGTGTGTGTTGTGTTGTATGTCTGACGGCGGCTTTGTATGCACAGCGAGTGTGTGTGTGAGGGTAAGCGCGTTGGTATTGATGCGTTTCATTTGCTTTACTCTTTCTACACTGTTTCGCCCCCTCAAAAATCCAAAACACAACTCGAACTTGCTCTGCGCTTTGTCTGCCCATCGCCTGGCTGAGTTAGCTAGGTGTGCATGTGTGTATGTATATTTATTTGTGTATAAGTGCGCCTTTGTACATTGAACTCGGGTGCCAGGCCAAGTGTTCTGTCCTATTCCTGGAGACGTCTCGAGTTGCAGGTCTGTCACGTTCTGCATTCGTATTTTTTATTTTTTTCTGCTGTCAGGCTTGTGACATTCGTTTTATGATCTTTTCTTTTTAGTTAGGGGAAATTGAAATATAAACTTTGTCCCTATCGATCGAAAAGGTTTCTTGATAAATTAAGAAAATAACAAATTTTATTTAATTATTACGTACCGAATACCGAATAGAGTGTTAGCTATTCGTATTTCGCTTCGGTGTAGTTTTGCTATCCTTTTTTCCTCCACTTCTTTGGTTTTGTTTTTGGCAGCCAGCGTTTGATTTTTCTTTTCTTTCTTTTTTTTTTGTTGTTCTCTTATTTGTTCGGCGCGTCCCTTAGCAACTGGTCGCTGGCTGCCATGAAGTTCCGTGCCAAGATGTTGGACGTGCTCTATATGCGCGAGTTCCAGGCTATTGCCGCGACGTTGGCCAAGCTGGCCAAGGATTGCGTCATGATATTGGGCCAGGAGCGCATGCATTTCATTGTGAACGAGGAGCATTGCTCGACCTCATCGCCGCTCGTGTGGGTCAGCATTGGTTCCAAAGATTATTTTCCGGAATACAAAATGACGCCAGCACGTCCAGACGAGGACTTCATAGTGCTGGTCATGTCTGCGATGCATCTAAGTCGCGCTTTGGCCGTGCTGCGCTCCGGCACCAGCAGCAGCGTGCACAGCTGCAAGTTGAAATTGAAGCAGATACAATTTCCCTGCATCTCGGTGATTGCCTCTGTGGTGTCGCCTAGTTCCGCCGAGCCGCGCGAAGTGGTGCACGATGTGCCCGTCACCGTAGTCCCGGCGAGCGATTGGCCCTCGTTTGTCCTGCCCAAGGTGCCGAGCACACAGCTTGTGCTGGGTGTGCCCTCGCTGCGTCTTCTGCGCAGTCTGATAGACAAGCTAAAGAACATATCGCCCAGTCTCATATTCCATGGCAGCGCCACAGGCGAACTGAATCTGGTGGCCGAGTCCGAAATGGCCACAATCACAACTCGCTTTAGTCGCCTGCTGCTGCACAAGGTCAACCAGCCGCAGTCGTCGTCGGCGGCGGCCTCGGCATTGGAGGTGTCCTGCTCTGTGGACACACGCAAGGCATCCGCGTTCTTTAATGCTCTCCAGCTGCCCAACGAGGAGATCATGATTGGCATCGATAACGAGCGCTGCATCTGCTTGCAGCTGGATATTCGCAGCCAAGTAGTCCTACATTCAATTTTGCCAGCTGTTTGCATTTAGCGGTAAAAATAAACATAATATTAAGCGAAAATAAACTGTAATCGATATGCATATTTGCGCGTGAGCTATATATCGATATGCAAATGGCAGCAAATCATCGATAAGCGAAAGTTTATTTGTGTTTGTTTTCTTTTATATTACTTTTTCTTTATTTTTGCTCTCTGTGCTGGCTGTTCGCCCCAATTTGGCTGCGCAGGCCGTGGCCTCTTTTTGCTGCGAAGCGGCAGCAGCAACGGCAACGCTGACTGAGCGGAGCGGAGCACTCGCTATGTTGAGCTGTTGCATTGCCTGTTATGTATGTGTGTGTGTTGTTGTTGTTGTTCGCTTGCATATTTATTGTTTTTTTGTTACTGGTTTTACAACCTCATCTGTTTGCTCACTCGCAATTGCCAGCCAGTTGCATTTCAAGCGTGTTGTTGCATTTGCAGGTGAGTAGCTTTTCAAGTAGGCCAGCAGCGACGTCGACTGCGCTGGGTGGGTCGCTCAATATAGCGCTTACTGCGAATTGAACACAGGTCAACAGCCATTTTCGTAACGCTTCTCATTTTATCAATGGCTGCAAAATATAAAAAAAAAATCATTGAAATGTTATCTATCTTCGAATTAATAAGTGGCTGTCGTTTCATCAGTCCCTATCTGGCTGACTGAGTGCCCTACGTGGCTGCTCTTTTTATTACGTTTTATAAAAAAAAACTACTTGTCTGTGAGTGTGTTTGTGTAGGCGGGTCACTAGCCAGAGACCCTATCAGAAGATTAGTCACAAGTTATACGTACTTGTGTGTGTGCGTGTGTTAAACTGCAATAAACAGCTGTTTGTGTAGCCCAAGAATAATGCTCGCACACATATACATACATAAATACTCTCTCGATCAGCTGATCAGGTCAATACAAATTTCACTCTAACGGGCGCAGTCACAGGTAAAGGGAAAAAATTTCAGCGAGTAGCGAGTCACATTCAACCCCAAAGCACCAGAGAGCGCTGCTACCCTCTCTTCTCAGTCGCAGCCATTTTGAGTGAAAATAAATTTCGTTGGCAGTGTAGAAAATGGTTTTTATTTCTCTTGTAATATTATCTTCATTTATTTAAAGTAAACCAACTTCAAATAGTATTAGAGAAGCGTTTTTATAAAGTGCAAAGAAAAGTACGTGAGTCGGTTTGTTGACCTCATTGCCATTTAGCGACAAGGGTTGAGTGACCTGCTTAACGGCCTGCTGAGTGCTTTTGTTGCCTGGTGTGAACTGGTTCAGTTGTCTCATCTATTTAAATTAGATATTGATATTAAATTGTCTTATATTGCAATTTATTCAACTTGATAAATAACGCTATATAAAGAATATTGAATTTAACGTATAATATCTGTATGTGTATGTGTGTGTATGTATGTGTATGTATGCTTTCAATGTGTTCTTGCCAGAAGCACTCACTCTCACTCATTTTGCGCTCATTCGCTCGCTCGCTCACTAGTTTCGTTTCGTTCACACGGGGTCGCCATTGACGTTGTCGCGGCTGATGCCATCGTCAGTCGTGAGTTGGCTTTGAGTGCGTGCACAGCTGAAAAATGATTCGTGCAAACGTTATTTTTTTTTTTATATACCTGTGTGCGAGTACATAATGTATAGGAAAGGTGCAGTACATATTTATATAATAAAAAATAGGTACATTCATAACTTATTACGTAGTAGTTTAAAACTATGCAAAATTTGGCTGAATCAATGTTTATGCATTCGTTTATTTCTAGCAGTTCTTTTGACTTCGCTTCTCTTGCGTTATGTACACACGTATACGTATATACGCTTGAGTGTGTATGCCTTTGTGTGTAAAAGATTGGGGCTGTGTGTGTGTGTTAGTGTAACGTCGTCATGTGTTTGCCCCTCGTGCGTTCTCTGTCATGCACAGGCCGAGGCAAGCGACAACTTTGACGTCGCTGACGCTGTCTGCGTCGATGCCCGTGCTCCCTTTTCGTATTTTTTTTTTTTTTTATACTGTAAATCGACGGTTAGTCGTCAGCAAAGGAAGCAGAAACAGGCTTAAAGGAAAAGTAAATAAGGAAAAACAGATTGAATTAAAATTTGTGTAGCTTTTAAGAAAACTTGTATTAACCTTTTTCTCTATGGTAATGGAGCAAATTTATTAGTTGTCCGTAATATTTAGAGAGAGAGAACCTTTGTGTGTATAACAGTTTACAGGGTGTGCGTGTGTGTAAGTGTGCGAATGCTTATATAGCACGTTTACAATTGTATAGCATTTTGTAAGTGCCCATCAATGACGTATGTATGTATTTACGCCTTGCAACAAGTTATTCTTTATATTTCAACAAAACTTACTAAAACTTTTAGCAAGCGTTACTCGAATATCGACTCTTGCCGCAGACCTTCCACTGCTTGGCAACCGCAACAATAACAATGGCAAGGTCTGCTGAATTGTTGCATACACTTAGCTTGCCAGGGCTACCATATAAATAGATACATATGTATGTACATACAAAAATTTCGAGTGCTTTATTGCGTTCTTTTAATGTTTCAACCTGGCTTTAGATGCGTCGCAGTCGCAGCGCGACACGAAAAATTTCCAATGCAATTTGCTTTACGGTTAAGTTGCCACAGTGACGACGGGCCCTTTGATTATTGTGTTGTCTCCCCTTCCACCCTGTAGAAAGCGCTGCTGCTGCACACACACACACACACACACACAAAACCCACTAACACACACCCCACTTTCGTAGCTTGTGCTCTCGCTCGCACACTCGGCGAGCGCTGCTGCGGCTGCTGCTCAGCTGTGCGTAGGCCACAAAAGCAGTTTCGTAATAGAAAATAGAAAAGCAGCAAGAAATACAAAATGAAAAAATAAATAATAAAACTTGATGGGGCAACACTGTTAACCGTCCGTTATGTTCACTGGCGTCATATGCTCGACTGAGTTTACACCAGTATGTGTGTGTGTGTGTGTGGATTTATACAAATAAAAAATACAATACGCCCTAGATAAAGTAAGCGGTAGCTGTTGGTGGGGTTGGGGGTATGGAAAAAGCTATATGGTAAGTGGGAAAAAATTCTTATCAATTATGTTTGCCATCAGGGTTGACAGAAGGTAATTACAATACACATGGCCTAAAGCGAAAGCTCGCTTAAGCGAGTAGCTACAGTTCTAATTTGACCCTCCAAACGAGCTGTCCGTTCATAGAGCTTTTACTGTATGTGTATTTATATATTGGTTCTACATAATTACAATGTACAACTCGAGGCCCTTTACATTTTTCAATTGCTGCTGATAGATAAAGCAGCAGCATTGACAAACCACATGCCATATGTTTGAGTTGCCACACGCAAGGAAAATGCTCGCAGCGCACACATACACACATATACACATATATATATACACACACACACATATACATACACACACACATACATATTATATGTATGATGTACATACATGACGGCGCTGCCATTTGCGGCCTCGCACATTTTTATTTTTTCGTGTCTGTTGTTTTTTGGTGTGAAAAACTGTGTTTGCAAGATAGAAAAAACTGGCGAAAAAAAAAGATAAGAAAAAAACAAATTCAAACAAATTTTCATGTCGACGGTGACTGCGTTGCTGGTTTCATTTAAAGCGGCCTTGAACTGAATTTGATTTTTTTTTTGTTTTTGATTAACAGTTGGGTTTGTTGGGTTTCATGTCAGATTTAAGTTGCTGGCAATGTAACGGCTAAATATGAGGGCGCACACACACGCATCGCACAAACTACGCATTTATTTTCTATAGTGTAGCGAAGACGACGCGACGTCGCTGCTGGCGTTGCAAAGGGCGCTGTTGACGTCGCTGCCGCCGCCAACACGTTTTGCTGCTGCTGCTACAATTGCCTTTTAGTTGTTTTGCTTTTATTTTTTGTTCGTCGCGTGTGCTTATTGTATTTTTATACGTATGTATGCGTGTGTGAGTGTGCGTGCGTATGTATTTGCGGGATCGTGCACTGCGTTCTCGCAGCGAAACAAGCATGACAAGTCAAACAAACGAGTCCGAACTCGTTGCCTGCTCGCTCGCACATACATAGGAAGAAGGGGCAGTCAGCCAACAGCAAAGCGCAGCGCTGCTTACGAAAACCAAAATATAAACAAAACGGCCGAGAACAGCTGATTAACAGCGCAGCATGTGCGCTCTTACTTTATGTAAGCTCATGTGCTGTGTGGTTGTCTGTGCGAGTAAGTGAGTGAGTGTGCTGTAAATAGTTTTCACTCAAAACAAGTCGCTCACAATCGTATGCGCGCTCGCTCACTCAGGCTCTCTTGCTTGGGCATATGCACGTGTTGGTGACTGCTGCTTCTGCTGCTGCAAACAGCTGTTAATTTATTTACATATTTGTGTGTGTTTACTGCGCACATATGTTGTTAAAATGTGCTCAACTGCGTCAGTCCGTGCGAGTGAGTGAGTGTGTGATTGTAATGGTGTCTGTGTCGGTCGCTGTTGATGGTGGTGTATTCTTTTGTGCTGCTCGCTGCTGGCTGCTTATCAATTTTCATTCCTGCTGCCTTTTTCATTATTTCTGCATGCATGCGTGTACCTGTCTGAAAGGGGCAGCAAATCTCTGACTACCCTTGGTGACAGCGGCCGGTTCCTTATTTAAGATTGCCTGCACACACACACACAACCCCTATGATCTTTTCCGTTAATTCTCCTTTGGCTATCCATGCATTCAGCGAACAAGTCAGCGTTCAAGTATATTTAAATTCGCCGCGCTTTGTTTTTTTTTTTTCGTTAAGTTGGCAACATAAAACATATTATCGATTGCCATAAAACACAACTGTAATCGCTTTGTGTGCAAACGACAGCAAATACAAAGCAGAAAAAAGAGATAATAATAAAAAACTTGTCTACTTCAAATTTACTAAATAAATTGTGTGCTTTCTTTTATTTTTACAATTACAGCACAAAACTCCTCAGCTCTGCCCGCAATAAACTGTTAACGCCGCGCACCAAGCAGAACTCGACAAAAAAAATTCCTCAAAACTGTAAAAGTGTGTGAAAATCAACCAATCAATAATATTACAGATCTATAACAAATTGTACCAAGGCGTTCTGCTATACTTGGCGCAGCAATCGATCAACAAGAAAGCAAACAAAAAGTGTGGTTTGCTTAATATTTAGCAAAACATTTTAGATTTAAGACATTATAATTGCAAACAATTCTCCGTGAAGTTGGCATGTTAAGTGTGCTCGATGCCAGTGCGGTTAAGTGTCGTCTATGGCCGAGTCCGTTAAAAGTCAAACGCTCTCTGCATTGACGGAGGGGCAGCACGACGGTAGTAAAACAACAACAACTGCAATAGCTACAGCAATAAATACAGCCACAGCCAATACGCACAGACGTTGCAATAGCTATAACAATAATAATAACAATAGCAAAAGCAATAATAACATCAACAAGAAACGAAATATAGCAGCGGCAACAACTGCTGCTGCTGCCACATCCACATCCACCGTAATTGTCGGCCCCGCACGTCGTTCGCGGAGCAAGGGTCGCAGCCTTACAACAGCAACTACAAATACAACAACAAGCAGCAGCAACTGCAAGAACAGCAAGAAATCGACAACTATCGCTGACGTTCCTCGACGCTCCACAGCATTTGGGGGCGTAACCAGCTCGCGTTCATCCATTAACACCGCCAACTCGTCAAACAACAACGCCAACGATTCGTCCTTATCGCCAGGCAGTCGGAAGCGTCAGCATCAACAGCAACAACAATACAACTCCCACAGCAACATCAGCAGCAACAACAACCAGCAACATCGCAACAACAGCCAATGTAAGTAAACGTGTCGAAAGCTAAAAAAGTCAAAAAGTCAATAGATTTAATCAAATATACCTCATATACCAATTGGTTTCGATAGCAATGCAAGCAGAGTCCAATCTATCGATAGGTGCGATTAATCCTAAATATAACGTATTTGTTATCTCGAACTACGTCCATCTCTAGTCTTGACTACTTTACAAACTATATAAACTATATTTGGAAAGTGCAGTTGGCAACACGCAACTTGGTGTATCTATAGAAAACTAACTGTTAAAATATATTTTAGAGTGACCAGTGTAATTTTGAAAAGTCGGACTTTAATTCATATTCATCGATAGTCGATAGTTAGTCGTGCCAATTACCAATCGATACCTAGTTATGCATTTATCGCAAACTTATCTGCGCTTAAAAAGTCAAAACACTTGTGAGTCTCTGTGCTGAAATTCAAAATTCGTAGGAATCGAGAGAGAGAGAGAGCGAGAGAGATAGAGGAATGTTGTTGCTTCTCAGTAGAGCATACTATTTTGTTTCTCAAAATTGAAAAGATCATAAGCAGCAGCAGCGCCACACCCTTCAAAAAATCAAAAATATTCTAAACTAAAAAAGACTAGAAACAGTTTTGCCAAGTTTTTTTTTTGGTTTCTCGAATCGTCAAATTTATAAGCAAGTTTTTTACCCCCCCTCACCCATCAATCACCCACCCCCCAACTTTAAGCCCCAAAACCAAAAATAAAACATACGCACAAACTCGCAACTAAAGCTCATCATGTCCTTTACAGCTGCGCCCGGTGGAGATCAGTACGTAGAGCTCAATTCGCCGCTGAAGAAGCGTCGAGTGCAGCAGCAGCAGCAGCAACAACAACAACAACAACAACAGCCTCCAACAGTAGCAGCTGCAGTTGCAGTTGCAGTCGCAGCCGTTGTCGGGGAGGTCGTCTCGCCAGCAGGCGGAGCAACTGCATCAGCCGAAGCCTCGCAGCAGAATACGCCGCGTCTGACCTCTGGCGGCGATTGTGTGGCCCAGCGCACGCGCTCCAAGACACTCACGCCCGAAGAGCTGCCTAGCACCAGCAGCGCTGCCGCAGCGCGCCACAACAGCAACAGCAGCAGCAGCAACAACTGCAGAAGCAGCAACAACCAGCAGTATAGTGAGAGCAGCTGCCAGCACGTGATTGGGGCGACGCCACAGCGTGGAGCAGCAGCTGCCCGCGCAGCAGCACGCAGCACAAGCAGCGGCGGCGGCAACAGCAGCAGCGGGGGCAACCTGCTCAACTATTACCGCAAGACGCGCAAGGTGAGCCATACGCGCGCCAAGCCAGCGGCAAAAACTGGAGCACATCAGCAACTACAGCAGGAGGATTTGATTGGCAAATTCGCGGAGACAAGCAACGCGCGACTGCAGGCCAGCAGCTCGGCGGTTATAGCAGCCGCTGCCGCCATTGACGCAGCTCGTCACGAGTCCAGCAGCAACAACAACGTCGCTGTGAAGCGTCTGGATAAGAAGAGCAACAGCAGCAACAAGTACACAAAGTACCGCAAAAGCTTACGCAACTATCAGCAACAGCTGCTCGCCAGAATTGACGCCACAGCGGACAAAATTGCCGGCGAGGACGACGCGCACGAGGAGCACAACGAGCATCCGTACGGCAGCTTGGTGGAGCAGCAACAACAAGCAGCCGAAGCCGCAGAAGACGAGCGGGAGGCGAACAACGTAGACGCTGCAAACGCGCACTTTGAGGAAGCCAGCGGCAACAACTCTGCCGACGAGGACGACGAGCAGGAGCAGGAACAGGAGCCGGACGAAGACGAAGATCAAGACCAGGAAGAGGAAGTGGAAGCCGAAGAGGAGGAGGTGGGTTTCTACGAGATAGTCAACTCGGCGGATTCATCGTACGAGGAAGACGCCCAAATTGTTGCCGAAGAGGACGAACTCAGCGAAGAGGAGGACGTCGACGACGAGGAGGACGACGATCTTGAAGAGGATTTCGACGAGGAAGAAGACGAGCTCTCAGAGGGTGAATTCGCTGAGCATATTATTGGTGAACTTGGTGGTGAGTTTTTTTTTGTTACTTATCAAAAAAAAAAAAAAAAAGAAGATATATACACCATCGAATATATACGTTCTGGCTAAAATTAACTGAAATTTGTATTATAAAATATTAGTTGGTTATTTGTTTAACAATTAGGTTTATGAAGGGTTTAAGTGTAAAAATCGGTTGATTATCAAATGAGTCAAATTTTGAAAATTCAACCGAATTGTCAGTAGATATATGAACTGGAATTTATAACGAGAAAAAATAGAAAAATTGATATTAGAGCAAAACGAAATTGCTTAGAAATATAGAGCCTCAACGTATACTCTGTTCATATGTAAAAAGAGGGTATATACATTTTTATTAATATTCGTCCGATTGGAATCCGTAAACCCAATTTTATCACCCTACTGATCTGATCAGTTGAAGGCAAAGTTCTAGTTTTTTTCAAATGCGATTTATCGATTTGCAGTCATGCTTCGCAAATTTTAGTTATCGATAACAATTGTTTACGAGCAACAGCTCCTCGCTATAAAACGTCCAAAGTAACCTTGTAAAGCAAGAAAATATTTGGCAGCGTAAAGTTTATACAGTTGAGCATCTGTTTTCATAAATTGTGTGATAAGTTTCTGTTTTCTTTTCTTTTCTTTTTTTTTTTTATTATTGTGTATCAAATAGGCCATATAATCTTGTTGGTGAATTCCAGTGTTATATCTTGAACATATATACCCAAAATTTTGTACATTTTGTTTGTGTAGATAACTTTTTTTGCTCTTTGGTTGACTTTACGAATCGCTTGCATTTTCCGTTTTGTATATAGTTAAAAACTGTGTAGTTTTATGTTTATCTATTGTGCTCTTTCTATTAAAACCCGAATGCTTTGTTTCTCTCATATTTTTCACCAAATTAACATACGACGGGCCAGTTCTACCACACCTTAAAATTAAGAAATACAAAAATAAAAAGTTATTTCGTGCTCGGCGTTTTTGTCAAGTGCGCGAATTTCTTATCAACAACTGAAACATTTTCTTGTACAACTGCCTTTTGCGCAGCGTCATGCAGAGTACATACACACATATATATACGTATTAAATTAATTATTTTGTTGATAAAAAAATATATATATATACATATATACGTGTATATTTTTCGCAATGGCAACGCACTTTAGCAAAATCCAGTTGCAACTTTTACGTCGCGCTGCTTAGATCGAAAAAAATTTAGAGAATTATGAAAATAAAATCAAGAAGTCTTCAGTTTGCCGAGTATTAGCCTTGCTGATATTTAGGGTATATATTGCTCTATGTGGAGACTTCGTAAAGAAGCGATCCGATCTAGTCGTTGACGACAACAGAAACAATATAACTCGAATAAATAACACCAACTTGATTACATCGAATAATATAGACGGAACGGCTATATCCACACTTCTACTGATTGATCAAGAATGTATTTCATAGCCATAATAATTATCTAGGATCTGTGGTGTGCGTACTTTTGCCTGCTGACTCATAACCAACTACCCACACCCAACTCCACCCCTGCAAACCCCTGTGTGCTGTGCTATCATCAGTCAGAAAGCAGGGCTTACATTTAAATATACAACAACATATGTAAATATATCTGTCCATTGTTCACCCGTCAGTTAATATTCAGTTCCTCATCTACTACAAAATCGCATTCCGATGAAAAAACGCCCATTAATTTCGACCGCACATTTATTTTATTTGTATTTTTATTCAATTTATTTTAATTACTTATTTATGCATCACACATTAACTTTTAAGTGATGTACGTGGCCAGTGTGTACACATTTTATTTTTATTTATTTATTACCGTTTTCTGTGGGGTGCCAAAACAGTGTTGAAAAATGAAACCGTTTTTATTCTTTATCGATATTTCATTTTGCACGTTGCTGTTGTTGCAAATTAATTTAAATAATAGTGTTAATGCCAGAGTATATATATATATATATATATTTATATATATATATATATAACAATTTTACTGTATATATAAATATCTGTGTGTATATATATATTTATATATATATGTACATATATACATATAAATATAGACATATATGTAACACATATTTCATTGCTGATGCCTTGTGTTGTTGATGATGATGATGTTGTTGTTTTTGTGCAAGCAAAAAAAAAAGTATATTATATATATCATGTAGACATATATAATGAAGGCATATATACGCGCAAGCAGTGGCGCCGTCGCAGAGCAGGGCAGCAATATGGGCAGAAGAGCGTAAGGGAGACAGAGAGAGAAAGAGAAATGTTTAAGTAGCAGCAGCAGCAGCGGCAGCAGCACCACCAACAACAACAACGACAACAACAGCTATTAGCAGCAGCAACAACAAAAGTGCAGCAACAACGAAAAGCGATGGGGCAGCAACAGCAGCAACAGCCTTATGAACAGCAGCAACTGTAGCAGCAACAGCAACAGCAACATGTTGCTGCAGTGTCTTGAGCTTGCGTGTGTATGTGTGTGTGTGTGCGCGCGCGTGTGTGTTCTTATAAACAAACATACATACATATGCGTACAGCAACAAAATAAATTAGTTTAGTGACGAGCAGCAGCAGCAGCAACAGCAGCAGCAAGCAGCAGCAGCAACATCATCATTGTCAGCGACTGAGCGTCCCAAACCCGCCTGCTCCCCTTCTCCAGCACACAACAGACCTGTCCCACTTATCCATAAGCCTGTGCATTTTACCATTTCCCAAAAGCAACAACAACAACAACAACTAACGTAGTAGAGTAGCTGCAAGCAAAATAACAAACTATAAACTAAAAAAAATCAAAGCTGTTTAACTGTTGTCTCCCACTACTCTACCCCCCTCTCTACTTGCCGCCCAACGACAACAAACGCACAACACAAAAGCAACAACAACAACCGCAACAAAAGGTGCGCCACACTCAAAACGCAGCAGCAGCAACAACAGCAGCGGCAACAAACATACAACAACAACAACTCAGAACAACAGCAACAGCAAAGCGAACAAAAACACGCTGGCAACATATTCATCATCAGCTGCGCTTCCGACAGCGTCGGCAACAACGCCAGCAGCAGCCGCAGTCGCTGCAGCAACAGCAACTGGAATAACAACAACAACAACGTCCGGCTATCAGCGTGCCGCCCCCCCTGGCCACGGGCACGGGGCGGCACGTGGAACACGCAGCAATAGCGCTGCTGTTGGCATTGTTGATTACAGCGTGCTAGCCGCGCCACCAACAGCAGCAGTTGCCGCCACACATATGGCAACGCCCTATGCACCGGCACAGCAGCAACAGTCGTTGCCACATCCGCAACAGTTGCTGCCTGCCCATCAGTTTGCGACTGCTCATTTGTCTTCCTTTGTGACGCCAACAGCGCCAGCAGCAGCGCAACATTATCAAGCGGCAGCATATTTTACAGCCGCACAGCAGCAACATCATCCACAACACCAACACCATCAGCAGCACCAACAGCAACAACAGCAACATCACCATCAGCAGCAGCAACGACAGCAGCCGCATTATTATCATAGTTCAGCTGCTGCTGTCGCTGTGCTCAATCTGCATCAGCAACACCCACAGCAACAACAACAACAACCACATCACTATAATTCCACAGGGACGCAACAGCCACGCACAGCGCCGCCGCCGCCCATTATCTATCAGCAGCAACGTTACACAGCAGCAACATTTGTGCCGCCGCCAACGGCTGCACAGCAGCAACACACGGCCTACGCACAGCAACAACAACAACAACAACAACAACAGCAGCAGCATTCTTCACTGCGCCGCAGTTCACGTGGCAAAACGGGTTCCTGTGTAAGTTCCGCAGCAGCCGCACAGCAGCAACAGCAGCAGCACCATCTGCAACATCCATTGGCAGCAGCTGTTGTTGTTGCGCCCGGCAACGCGGCTGCTGCTGCTGCACCACAGCCACAGCCGCCGCCAAGCCATTATCAATATCATCATCAGCAATTGGGCGGCAATACGGTGGTTGTTGCTGTGCGTCAGCAACAACAACAACAGCAGCAACACGCGGCTCTACAGCAGCAACATCAGCAACTGCATCAGCAGGCGCTACAACACCAGCAACAACAACAACAGCGTGCCACAATTGTTCAGCCTGGTTTTCTGTTCAGCTACCGTAGCAATCATAGCCAGCCGCCACAGCAGCAGCAACAGCTGCCCAAAGCGACGCACAGCAGTGGTAAGTCGTGTGGACGGACACGGAGAAGAGCTCGGAGTTGGAGTGTGGAGAATGAGGCAAAAGCGGAGGAGCGGCCAGCAAAGCGGGACTCCGATTGCGACCATCATAATTCAATCAAATCAATCAATCAATCACATTTGCTTGAAACAGTTTTCCATATTTTTTTTTCCTCAATCTCTTTCTACATATGTATATCTATTTTTTTTGTAAACCCACAAACATACGCACGCAAGCACTTTACGTTCTACTTTTGGGTTAGGTTAAGGCAGAGTGTAGGCGTGGTCCGCGTTTTGTACAGTTTGTGTATATATATGTATATATACTTGGTCACGGTGTCTCGGAATTGTGTTGGTGCATAAATTATTAACTGGTGTTGGGTTATCAATCAATCAAATCTAGTTTAACTGCATAAAACAGACGTGCCCAGTTAACAGAAAAAAATAAGAAAAAAAACTATCGATAACAGCAGTTTCTTTTTTTATTAACACGGAACATCCTTATTATTTTGTTTGGGCATCGATAACTGTTTTGTGCACAATCGAAAGTTCAATTTTAAATCATATGCATCATTGACCCTTCACCCTTGCCCCTATGTAACCATTCTGCTGCCGTCGCGCGCGTCGCTTTGCTCGCGGTGTCTGCCCCTGCTTCCTACACCACCCATCCAGCCAAAAAAAAAAAAAAAAAAAACAACCGAAACGAAACGAAGAAAAAGCAGTTATAATAACTTTGCATTTCTCTCTCTTTCTCTCGCTCGCGCGCTCTGTTAAACAAAAAAAAACATTTAAATTCAGCAGCTTCGGATGCTTTAACATATAGTTTGATGGCACAACAGCAACAACAACATCAAGCGCCAAATGGACCGCCGCATGCAGGTGGACAGCAAGTGACGTCAGGTAAAAACTCAGCCATACAACAACAAGCACACGCGCATCTTACTCATACACACAACCAAAGACACACACGCATACATACATACACACTTTTTATTTGATTTCCTAATTTACACTTCTCACACACACACACACGGCACACAGGGTGATTCCGGTTGACAGTTGACTGCTGTTAACATTTGACTGCTGTGATCATATCTTTGTTTGCCAAGACTCTGTTAACCATTGATAAATAGCGCTATGTTAGTTCTAACATTTTTTGTTTGTTGAATTTTTGTTTTCTATTTACTTCTCCCTCTCTCTTTCTCCCTTTCTCACTATAACTTCGTTTGTCTGTACGTTTACATTTGGAGTAGTTTCCTCTTTAACAGCAACAGCAGCAGAGACAATTTATGTTAATTACAAATTTTTGTCTCTCTCTCGCACACAGGTACTAATTCGGCCAATCTCAGCATTGTCGCAGCCGCATTGAGCGCCGCACGCGACTCCGCAGTCAACGTCAACGTTAGCAGCGCAGTGGGCGCCAACAGCAGCAGCAGCGCTGGCGGCGGCGGCAGCGGCAACATTGCCACAGCCAGCGGCAGCAGCAACAATGTAACTACAACAACATCCTCGACAGCAGCAGCTGCTGCTGCATCCGCCGCTGCCCAATCGTCAACAGCAACAGGCGCGACGGCTGCCACAACAGGTGCTGCTGCTGCTGTGAATGCTGCGGCCGCAGCTGCTGCTGCTGCTGCAGCGGCAGCGGATTCCGAAAGTGATGACAGCGAGGTGGGACGTCTGCAGGCGCTGCTGGAGGCACGCGGCCTGCCGCCGCATCTATTTGGGGCGTTGGGGCCACGCATGACCCACATCCTGCATCGGACCATTGGCAACAGCAGCACTTCAAAGGCGAATCAGCTGCTGCAAGGTCTGCAGTCGCACGATGAATCCCAGCAGCTGCAGGCAGCCATCGAGATGTGTCAAATGCTGGTCATGGGCAATGAGGATACGCTCGCCGGCTTTCCCGTCAAGCAGGTTGTACCGGCTCTCATCCAGCTGCTGCGCATGGAGCATAATTTCGATATCATGAACAATGCCTGCCGCGCTCTGGCCTACATGCTGGAGGCACTGCCTCGGTCCGCCGGCACAGTCGTGGAGGCGGTGCCCGTCTTTCTGGAGAAACTACAGGTCATTCAGTGCATGGACGTGGCCGAACAGAGTCTAACCGCACTCGAGATACTCTCGCGCCGTCACAACAAGGCCATTCTGCAGGCGAACGGGATCAGCGCCTGCCTGACGTATTTGGACTTCTTCTCGATTGTGGCGCAGCGTGCCGCCTTGTCCATTACGGCCAATTGCTGCCAGAACATGCACGCCGAGGAGTTTCATTTCGTGTCCGAGAGTCTGCCCCAGCTGGCCCGACTGTTGTCGCAGCAGGACAAAAAGTGTGTGGACAGCGTTTGCACTGCCTTCTGGCGTCTGGTCGAGAGTTTCCCACACGATGGCAAACGACTGCAGCAGATCGCCAGCCCCGATCTGCTCAAGAACTGCCAGCAGCTGCTGGTGGTGACGCCGGCCATACTCAATACGGGCACCTTCACCAATGTGGTGCGCATGCTGAGCCTTATGTGCGCCGCCTGCCCGGATCTGGCCATATCGCTGCTGCGCAACGATATAGCCTCCACGCTGCTCTATCTGCTCACCGGAAATGCAGAGCCGGCGGAGGCCAGTGCCAATCATGTGGATCTGGTGACACGTCCGCCGCTTGAACTGCTCGAGCTGACCTGTTTGATTGGCGAGCTAATGCCACGCCTGCCACTGGATGGCATCTTTGCGGTGGACGCTTTACTAGATCGGCCCACACTCAATACCCAGGACCAGGTGCAGTGGCAATGGCGGGACGATCGCGGAGCCTGGCACAATTATTCGACAATCGATTCGCGTCTAATTGAGGCAGCGCACCAGAGCAGCGAAGATGAGATTAGCCTGAGCACATTGGGACGCACCTATACGGTCGACTTTCATGCCATGCAACAGATCAACGAGGACACGGGCACCACTAGACCCGTCCAGCGCAAACTCAATCCCAATTATGTGGCACCAGGCACCGCAACAGCAGCCGTTTCCGGTGGGCAGGATTTGAGCACAACTGGAGCAGCAGCGGGGGTTGCAACCACATCCACAGCAGCAGCAGCTACTCCCACCAACAACAACAACAATAACAACTCGTCGCATCTGGCGGTAAAGCGACGTCCCTCGTTGGACGCCAGGATCGCATGCCTGAAGGAGGAGCGCGGTCTGGCCGCCGATTTTATCAAGCACATCTTTAACGTGCTGTACGAGGTGTACAGCTCGTCGGCGGGTCCCAATGTGCGCTATAAATGCCTGCGCGCACTGCTGCGCATGGTCTACTATGCGACGCCGGAGCTGCTACGCCAGGTCCTCAAGTATCAGCTGGTATCCAGCCATATTGCCGGCATGCTGGGCAGCAATGATTTGCGCATCGTGGTCGGCGCTCTGCAAATGGCTGAGATTCTGATGCGCCAGCTGCCCGATGTGTTTGGTACGCATTTCCGGCGCGAGGGCGTCATCTATCAGTTCACACAGTTAACCGATCCCAGCAATCCCATATGCGCCAATCCCTCGCCCAAGCCGCTGAGCACCAGCGCCACGCCGACGGCAAATGCTGGCGGATCACAAAGCGCGCCCGCCTCGGCGAACAGCCTGCAGGTGAATCCCTTCTTTATGGACAATGTGAGCGCCGGTTCGGCCGGCCCAACTGGTGGTGGTGGCGGCGGCGGCGGCTCCAGCAGCGCCAATGCCACGCCCAGCAGCTCCAAGCATCAATCGTACAGCGTGAAGAGTTTCTCGCATGCCATGAACGCGCTCACTGCCAGCGCCAATGCGGTGGTCAAGCAGCAGCATCCATCGCACCACCAGCCACATGGACATCAGCAGCAACAGCAGGCGGCTGCTTTGGACGCAACTGGAGTCGCTGCTGGCTACAACTACAGCAGCTCGGCGCCTTGCTCCTCTGGAGCCACCGGCTCAGTGGCGCCAGCGCCCGCTGCCTACTTTGTGGCCGCGACAGCAACTGCTGATCCACGCCAGTATCTGAATTTCCAGCAACCAGCTGCGCCGCTCGACCTGCTACCCAACACTGCAGCACAGCAGCATCAGTTGCCTCCCACACAGATCGTCTATAGCAATGTACCGGGCGCCACCAACTATCAGCAGCAGCAACAGCAGACTCCGCAGCAGCAGCAGCAGCAGATGACTGTGGCCGTTGCTTCCACCAGCGCCGCAGCTGCCAACAACAACAGCAACAATTGCTCCTCTTCGGCGCTGCAGCATAAAATGACGGACATGCTGAAGCGCAAGGCGCCACCGAAGCGCAAATCCCAGAGCAGCGGACGCGCCAAATCCAGGCAGGAGGATGCCGCCGCAGCAGCTGCGGCCGCCAGCTCGGCCAGTTCCGCCATGCACGAGCTGCTCAGCCGTGCCACGAGTAAGTGTTCCATTTCTCAACATATTTTCGCAGTCCAATTAAATTTCTCTCCCACTCCCTTCGCTAGGCCTGGGCAGCAACACGGGTGGCCGCAGCACGCCCAGCTCTGGTTCTGGCTCTGTCTCCGGTTCAGGCGCCGGCTCTGGCACCGGCTCAAGCAATTCCAAGTCTCGCTTTAGCGCCGGCAACACGAACAACACGACGAGCAGCTCCTCGACCAAATCTTCATTTCTGGCCTCGCTAAATCCGGCACGCTGGGGTCGCCAGGCGGCGCATCATCATCAGCAGCAATCCACCGGATCACACCACGGACTTACCAAAGATGGCAGCAACACTACCAACAGCAGCAGCGGCAGCGCTGGCGGCGGCGGCAGCTCCTCAACTGGCGGCGTCTCCGCGTCGGGCCTGACCTATACGGGCTCCGGTTCCGGAGGCATGAATGCTGCCGCCGTGGCGGCCAGCATTAGCAAGAGCATCTCTCATGCCAATCTGATGGCGGCCGCCAATCGGGAGCGCGCCCGCCAATGGGTGCGCGAGCAGGCCATCGATTTTGTCAAACGCTACACGGAGCAGGAGGCGCGCCGCAGCAAGGCACGCGAAAGCGACGCCGGCAACAGTGCCGCGGGCGGAGCAGCGCTTGGTGGAGCCGGTGGCTCCAACTGCGCAGCATCGGCTGCCTCGGCAAGCACATCGCTGGCCAGCACCAGCGTCCTGGAACGTCTGTCAAGCATTCTGCTCAAGCTCAATGGCAGCTATCACGACTGCCTGGATGCGCTGCTCGAGCTGAAGACCATACTGCTGGAGAGCGACATCTCGCCGTTCGAGGTGAATCACTCTGGTCTGATCAAGGCCATGCTCAACTACATGACCAGCGAATCGGGTCTGGTGGAGCGCGATGCGCGTCTGCGCAGTTTTATGCACGTCTTTGCCGGGCTGCCGCTGGAGCCGTTGCTTCAGAATGTGGGCCAGCTGCCGGCCATCGAGCCGCTCGCCTTTGGCGCCTTTGTGGCCAAGCTGAATGGCTGTGTCACTCAGCTGGAACAGTTTCCGGTCAAGGTGCACGACTTCCAGGCCGGACCCGGCGGGCGCACCAATCAGAGCGCGCTGCGCTTCTTCAATACGCATCAGCTGAAGGTGAGTTTCGAGTTAATCCGGAGCTAATCCTCACCTACTAATTGTGTTCTGTTTCTGCTACAGTGCAATCTGCAGCGTCATCCTCAGTGCAGCAATCTGCGTCAATGGAAGGGCGGCACCGTCAAAATCGATCCCCTGGCCATGGTACAGGCCATCGAACGGTATCTGGTGGTGCGCGGATATGGCGGCATACGCGCCGACTCAGACGATGACAGCGAGGAGGATATGGACGATAATGTCGCCGCCGTCGTGATGACTCAGTCGGGTTTCAAGCACAAGCTACAGTTTCTCATTGGCGAGCATGTGCTGCCCTACAACATGACCGTCTACCAGGCGGTCAAACAGTTTTCGCCGCTGGTCAACGAGCAGCACGAGACGGACAACGAGTCCGAGATGCTGTTAGGTAAGTGTGCAGCTAGGAGGGTGGGACATAATAAAGGATATGGCAACAATTGCTGATACTCATCCAAATCCGCAGGCAACAGCAGCATTTGGGTGCAGCAGCACACCATCTACTATCGTCCCGTCGAGGAGGAGCTGCTCGCCGCCGGCGGCTCTGGTGCCAACAGCTCCTGTAGCAGCAGCAGCGGCAGTCAGGCCCACAAACAGCTGGCTCACAGCAGCAGCAGCGGCACGTCCAGCGCTGCCAATTCTAACTCATCGCATTCGGCGGCCGGCTCGAGCGGAACTGCTGCCGGCGGCAAGAAGTCGCACAAGTCGAGCAGCAAATTCATGCGCAAGAAGACGGAACTGTGGCACGAGGGTATTGCGCCGCCGGTGCTGTCGCCGCTGAAGCCATTCCTGTGCAGTAGCTTGCCCGGGGATGTGGTCACCGTGCAGGACGCCTCCCTGGATGCGCTGTGCATGTTACGCGTCATTTATGCACTGAATCGCCACTGGGAGCATCTCTACGGGTGTGTGGTGCGTCAGAATATCATTGCCAATGCGGAGTTTGTGCATCCGAAGATCACGGCCAAGGCGAATCGTCAGCTGCAGGATCCGTTGGTCATCATGACGGGCAATCTGCCTCAATGGCTGCCACAGATTGGCATGGCCTGCCCGTTCCTCTTCCCCTTCGAGACGCGCCATTTACTGTTCTACGCCACCAGCTTTGATCGGGATCGTGCACTGCAGCGCCTTCTGGACACCACGCCGGATCTGAACTCGGCCGAATCGTCGGAGCGTGTGGCGCCGCGTCTGGATAGACGCAAACGGGCCATTTCACGCGCCGAGCTACTCAAGCAGGCCGAGCACATACTCCAGGACTTTGGTAACTCCAAAGCGCTGCTGGAGATCCAGTACGAGAATGAGGTGAGTTGGTGGGGGTGGATGCAGCTGGGTCATAGGAGCGTCTATATTAATTATACCTCTCTCTCAGGTGGGCACTGGCCTGGGACCCACGCTGGAGTTCTATGCTCTGGTCTCTGCCGAGCTACAGCGCACCGATCTGGGCCTGTGGAATGGCAGCGACAGCTATCGCCATAACTCATCCAACATAGCAGATGTAGTCAAATCCAGTGGCGCCGTGCTGCACATCGAGGACGCACTGGAGCCCAACAGCGAGACCACTGTGCTGACCACTGTCGTCAGCAGCAGCACCACCACCAACAACAGCGCCTCGCAAACCACAACGAACGCACATCTGACTCGCAGCAGCAGTCGCAGCAATGCGCTGCGCCATCAGCAGCAGCAACAGTTGCTGGCGGAGCACAGCTCCTCCAGCTCGAATGATAACGCTTTAAACATGATCATCGCACAGCAGTTTAGTGATATGGCCGCCACTGAGGGTGGCGCCAACAACTCCCCCCAAGTGCTCGAGCAGCAGACGATGACGACGACAACTACAACAGCAGCTGGAACGGTCACAGCAACAACAACAACAATACAGACTGCATCCACCATCAGCTATGTGCACACGGCGCACGGCCTGTTCCCATTGCCGCTGGGCAAATCGTCCAAACTGCCACAAATGACCAAGGCCAAGTCCAAGTTCAAGTTCCTGGGCAAGTTTATGGCCAAGGCGGTTATGGACAGTCGCATGGTAAGTCAACCGGCTATTACCCGGCGCCTAACCCTCTCCAGTATCATATAAAAAAATATAATAAAATATACTTTGTGCTCCTTCAGTTGGATTTGCCATTCTCTCTGCCCTTCTATCGCTGGCTGGTCAGCGAGGAGCTCTCAATTGGACTGTCCGATTTGATGCGCGTGGCGCCCGAGGTGCAGAGCACGCTGGTGCGTCTACAGGATGTGGTGCGCCAGCGCGAGGATATCCAAACGGATGCCAATCTGGATGCCATGGAGAAGAAGGAAAAGGTGAGCATCCGTCAATTCTCTGGCAACAATCGCAATAAACCAAACGTATATATTTTTCGCCTTCTGCAGATGGAGCAACTGGATTTGGATGGCTGCCCCATTGCCGACTTGGGCCTGGACTTTGTATTGCCCGGACATGCCAATATTGAGCTGTGTCGCGGCGGACGCGATACGCCCGTAACCGTGCACAACTTGCATCAGTACATCTCGCTGGTCACCTACTGGTTCCTCGTCGAGGGAGTCCAGAAGCAGTTCGAGGCGCTGCGCGAGGGTATGAATATAATCTCTAATACACATACCCAAAAGCCCCCTTCTATATTCGCATGTCTTGTTGCAGGCTTTGACTCCATTTTTCCGATACAACGCCTGCGCATGTTTTATCCGGAGGAGTTGGAGTGCGTGTTTTGCGGCTCGGGCAGCGAACAGCATCAGCGCTGGGATCTCAAGATGCTGCAGGACAGCTGCCGCACCGATCATGGCTTCCATCAGGAATCGCAAGCCATTCAATTTCTATACGAGATTCTCGTCTCCTACAATCGTGATGAGCAGCGAGCGTTCCTACAGTTTGTGACAGGTTCGCCTCGTTTGCCAACTGGCGGCTTCAAGTCGCTGACCCCGCCGCTGACCATTGTGCGCAAGACCTTGGATGGGAATCAGAATCCCAATGATTATCTACCATCTGTGATGACCTGTGTCAACTATCTCAAGTTGCCGGACTATTCCAGTCGTGATGTGATGCGACAGAAGCTGAAAGTGGCTGCCAACGAGGGCAGCATGTCCTTCCATCTGTCTTAAAAAGAACGACAAAAGCAAATATTAACTAAACGAAACGTTATATACACACACACACACACACACACGATTACACTATATATATAGTACTATCTATCTGTAGTATCTGATGATAGTATCTGATGATAGTATCTCTGTGAAACACTGCAGTAACCGGACCCAAACAACAACAAAAACGACCTTCAAATGTTTGCGCACCTCTGCAATTTCTCTCTTTCTCTTTTACACACTCGCACATCCAAGTACACACACACACACACACTCTACAAATGGCCAAATTTCGATATATCATATATATATTATATATATTTTGTAATATTCTCAAATTTGCAAAAAACAATGAAAATGTAACAAAAAAAAAAGGAGACACTGGCTTCACTTTTGCGTGTGTGCAGCCTGTTGTTAAAACCACTCACATCCCCCCCCCACACACACACACACACACGCCTCCTTTCTGCACAAGTGGTTGCATTCACACACGCACACACATCCACTAAACAGACTAAACAAAAAGGCCAACAATTAAAATGCTATTAAATAAATTAATTAGTAAAGCGCATAAATTGCAAGAAAACGAAACAAATTGTTGTTTACAAACATGAAAAATGGAAAATCGAGTTTTCGTTTCGTTCCACCTAAATTTGTTTAGTTTGAAGATATTTGGATATCGGGTTTGTTCAAATTTTTGAATTAATCAATCGAAATTATGCTATTAAGTTTTTGTTATGTTGCGGGCGCTTCGAATGTTTTTATTTTATGTGTATATTCTCTATAAGCATTCAAATGGAAACGCTTATTTATGCTATACGTACACATATATATGCTATATATCACTGTGGCAATCTGATAGTGCGGCAATTTAGTTTGATTTCCCCTCAAAACTTATATATACATATGTAGAAACGAAATGAATTCAAAGCAAAATAAACGTATAAATAATAAAAAGAACGCCCACCCTTGAAATTTAAATTTATTAATAAAACATTTATATATAATATATATAGAAATATGCATAATTATAATTATAAAATTAAAAGAACATACACTTATGTATCTAACAAACCGCGCTTAAGCAATTCTTCTGCAAGCTGTGCAAACTTGAATGAAATAGCCAACAAAGCCGGAGAAAGAAAGGGCAAAACGAACAGCAATTGGAAAGGAAAGCCCAGGAAGAACTGGGAATTCGCTAGCGTTTAGAGTTCACATTATATAAACGATATCTATATAAACATACGTATAAATAAATCAAATATATATTGAATAACTGTAATTGTAATTGTATTGTATTTAAAAGCACACACGCATATACGATTCTTGAGTTTGTTAAAACAACATAAATAAATGGAATTACAAAACCGGGATACAGTCGATGTGAACACACACACATATACATATACATATATAATTGAGCATATTAAGCGATTTATCAACTTTTGCAGTACTGATCATAATAATAATAATAATGATTTACAATTATAATAATTATACAAATATTAAGGATTACCGCGTCAAGTTATAAAAACAAAAAGCTAGCATTAAATTATCATATAAACTTTACAAAATAGTTACAGCAACAACAACAATTGCTCTTTAACAATGAAATCGTCAAAAGCAAGCAAATAAAACGTGAAATAAAAACGATATATAAGATAAAATCCGTATTTTTTTTTATGTTATGGGTATTTATCTAAAAAGGATATTAATTGCAAAATCCTTCGTGACTTGGACGTTTCAAGGTCGATCACGATGTTCTTTAGCCAACCGATAGTCCTTATCCTGCCAATCCAGAATGTGACAAAAATAAGGACGAACATCCTCCAAGGAGCCAAGTTATAAGAACATTTGGCTGTACACAAATTAGGCTATAAATTTTTACAAGCTCAAAAAGGTATATCCTTCCGAGATCCTTGAGAGATCCCAAGATATGACCATAAAAATAATGTCCTTTTTATACCCTGAATCCATTAAAAAAGGGTATAAGGGTATACCCTTTATGAATATACCCTGAATGCCATAACGCCAGGCGGGAGCTATGAGGGATTTATAAATTGTTACTTTATTTTTCAAAGATAGCGCATTTCTACAGTTCAGAAGCCGTCTTAGTTTTCCCAATCTGTTCTTCAGGGTTACTGAAACACTTGTGATTTTTTTCTTAAAATTCAAGCGCCAGTCTAATTGCGCCCCTAAGTACTTGTAGCTATTGTGGTGCGTCACGAATTGACCGCGCAAGAATACTACCGGACATATATCCCTCCGTAACGCATAGGCCACATTGGCGCATTTATTTAAATTAATGCCAATATTCCAACGCTTGGCCCACCTTTCAAATTTGTGAAGATATTGCTGCAATTGTAGAGCCAGTGGGCATGTCGTAGGTAAAGAGGGTGTAGAGCATGGGCCCCAGCACACTCCCTTGAGGAACGCCAGCCCCGATTTCCTTCATGTTTGACTTAACTCCATCGCGTACTAC